ACCGCGTTTGACCCAACGTTGATCAAGAACTTGTTGAGGTTCTAAAATGAGAACTCCATCATCATTCACTGGAGGCAAGTCGAGGGGCTGATTGGGTTGTCACTCCTCCTTGACAATGCATCTGCTGCTGAATTCTCGTGTCCAGGACGATAGATGATTTCATTGTCATAACCCAGTAATTTAGCCACCCATTTTTGTTGTTCTGGAGTTGCAACCCGCTGGTCCAAGAAGAATCTTAGGCTTCGTTGATCGTTCTTGATGTAGAATTTCCGCCCCAATAAATATGGCCTCCATAATCGAATAGCTTCCATATGGCCAACATCTCCTTAGCATAGGTGGACCACGATTGCTTTGTCACTCCCAATGCCCTGATCATGTAAGCTATAGGCTTGTTGTTTTGAGTCAGAACCGCGCCAATCCCATCACCTGATGCATCCGTTTCTATGGTAAAAGGTTCTGCAAAGCTGGGCATAGCTAATGTGGTTGTGGTAGTCATGGCTTGCTTTAATGCAAGGAAAGTTGTCTCGGCCTCCTCATGCCATTGGAATTTTCCCTTCTTGAGTAAGTTTGTTAATGGACGGGCTATTATGCCATAACCTTGAACAAACTTGTGGTAGTAACCTGTTAAGCCCAAGAAACCACGTAATTCTGTGATGTTTGCAGGTCTCGGCCAAGTCACCATATCTTCAATTTTCGTGTCATCCACCTTTACACCTTGGTGTGTAACAATATGCCCCAAATATTCCAGCTCTTGCTTGCCAAAAACACATTTACTTAACTTGACAAAGAACCTGTGTTGCTTCAAATACTAAGTGTATGCTGAACATGCTCCAGATGTTTTTCCCATGTAGGACTATATATCAAAATGTCATCAAAAAATACAAGAATAAACTTTCGTAAATAAGGACGAAAGATAGAGTTCATCACCACTTGGAATGTAGAGGGAGCATTGCAAAGGCCGAATGGCATCACTAAGTATTCATAATGGTCGTTGTGGGTGCGAAAAGCTGTTTTTGGCACATCAGGAGCACTGACTCTGATTTGGTGATACCATGCCCTTAGATCAAGCTTGGTGAAGAATGCAGCACCGTATAGCTCATCTAGAATGTCATCTACGGTAGGGATTGGGAAGCGATCTTTAATTGTGACAGCATTGAGTGCTCGATAATCTGTGCAAAAGCGCCATGTTCCATCCTTTTTCTTCACGAGCACTGGTGATGAAAAGGGGCTAGTACTGGGACGTATTAGATCTGCGTTCAACATGTCTTGAACTTGACGCTCTATTTCTGCCTTTTGAAAATGTGCATATCGATAGGGTCTCACATTTATGGCTTCAGTTCCTTCTTTGAGGGGAATGGTTTGCTCAACTTCGCGAGCTGGTGGCAGACAAGTGGGCTCCTCAAACACTCCTGAAAATTGCTTCAAAAGGGCTTGCGTATCAGGATGAATTTCCTCGTGAGTGAGCTGTTTTTCAGGTTGAGAATATAGAGCAAATACAGCTTGTTGGTGGCGAAATTCCTTAGTTATCTCCTGCAAAGAAGTTGTTTGAATTGGTTGTGCTTCAATTCCCTGCAAACACTTCGACTGTTGCTCCCAAATAAAACTCATGGTTAACTATTTCCAATCACAAACCACAGAACCTAGTGTTTCGATCCATTGAATTCCCAAGACCAAGTCTACGCCATATAACGGTAATGAAAAGAAGTCAAACAGAAATTTGATACCTTGCAAGTCGACTGTAACATTTTCATATCTTCCTTTGCATGATAATTGTTCTCCATTTGCAACTCGCATTTTCAATGGTTCAGTGGGATGTACCGGCAAGCGAAGCGAGCTAGCTATGCGATCACTGATGAAGTTATGAGTTGAGCCGCTATCGATTAAGGCCACCACTTCTCGAGACCCAATTTTGGCTTTAATGCGCATGGTTTTTGAGACGGTCCACCTTGTTAATGCATGCAACGTAATTCCTGGCTCCTTTATCTCCTCAACTTCTTCATTATTATTTGGCTCTTCCATGGTTTCCTGACTTGTATCCCCATCATTCTGAGTGTGCCCCAATATCAAGAGCTGCAGCACTTGACACTTATGTCCAGGAGTGAATCTTTCATTGCAATTGAAGCATAGTCCTTGAGCTCTCCTCCTCCGCATCTCATCCCATGATAAGCGTTTAACCCCAGCTTGTGATGTTGTCGGTGTTGTAACAGGACTGACAACTGGAGCTCGTGTTGCACTTGGTCGTGCAAACCGTCTTTGCCATTGGGTTTGATCATCTCTCATTCAAGCTAAACTGATATCTTCTTTAACTGATTGAGGCTTGAACATCCTAATGCCATCTGCATCAGATGGTCCAAATCGAACTCTAATTTCATCTTCAAAAATCTCCCACGTGATGACCCTTTGTTCCTCGTTGAGTGCCTTCCGCAGCCATTGCCACCACTGATTTGCTTCTCCTTCGAGGTGAAAGGAGGCTAAGCGAATTTTCTGGTCTTCGGAAATCTCCTGGAACTCAAAAAATTGATTCACACAGTTGAGCCATTCCGTCGAGTCATCTCCAAAAAATTTGGGAAATTCAAGCTTTGCGATCTTAGAGGAGAAGGGTCTGTTGCTATCGTCGGTATCTCTACGTGTTCGACTCTGCGCTTCCTGATTATCGTTGTTGTGACTTGGTGAACCGTGGCTCGAAAGCAAAGCCTCAGATAGCCGAACGATAGTGCCTTCCAAGCATTGAATTTTATCCGTTATTCCCACTTCCAACTTCTGCATCCCCTCTTGGACTCCTCCAAGTCCTTTCTCCAAAATTTCAATTCTCTCTTTGTTAGTTGTCATTCAAACCTTGCTCTGATACCAATGATAGGTCCCGGTCAGTAGCAAGAAAAATAAACACAATTCTTCTTTGGGTGAGAACAAACCACAAGAACAGGGATAATACTTCTCTGATTCATTCATGTCTGCTCACCCCTTTTTAAACAACCAGTACCAACAACTGAAAAACTGAACAAAGCTAATGGCCAAGTCTTTAGGACACCCAGTCACCCACTACATCGACACACTACATCAAATAAACAACCGAGTCTTTAGGAAACCCAGTTTCCCACTACCACATAAACACATACCACTATAACTTAAACACGTAAATACATAACTACACAACTTAAGCAAACTGGACACCAAATGGACAATTATGCACTGGTTGCTACCACATATACTTTGGGTTGGGCTTGGGGGTTCGAGTGGACCTTCTGGGCTTATCATAGACTCAGAAGATTGTGCGTTGAGTTTTCTTCCTCAATTCAAATTGTTTCATTTTTCTGACAGAGGCATCATAATTCTTTTTCGACTAATTGAACTTTGAATTGCAAAAGCAATCAGCGCTAAGACAGCATTTAATACAGGGCTAAAACAACGAAGAGTGGTTTGCCTTACCAAGACTTGTATAAAAAAAATCCGGAAACTTCTGGTGGGGAAGCCAATCTCTCTCTCTTAACTTAACTAGGCTCGGGTGGAGGTTCATTAATTATTACAGAAAGCAATGTCGTCTGGGTTCGAATTCTCGAAGCTAAGTACTTGCAGAAGTGCAGTTTCTGGGATGCAAAAGAGAGGTGGGAGAGAGGAATTACACTCTGCAGGGAATTTCAGGCGATGGGCGCTCAATGGAGATTGGCAATATTGGTGTTACCAGGATTCTGAACTGAGTTGTTAATTGAATAACTGATAACTAACTCGACAAGCGTCAAGTTTGTTAAGAGGACAGAAGCAACACTACTAGGAATGAGCGATCAGTGCGCCTCTTCTTTGATCAAGTTGCTGTGGCTCCAGCTCCTTCTCAAGGCTAAAGCCACTTCAAATGGATAGAGAAGGCTCCTTCTCAGTAGCTTCAGAATACATGCTAATAAAAGCACAGGGTGTCAATTGGACCGGATTTGGTCCAATCTAATCTAGTCCAAAGTCCAATATGAATTCAATTACAAATGGAACAGGTGCAATCTAATCCGATGAATATTTTGGGCCATTAAGTCTGGACTGGTCTAATTCAATGTCTTATTGGTCCGTCCAAATTGATTTTGACTTGAACGGGTCTAACCTAAAATTGGTCTATTGACAGTCCTATTTGCAAATTGCAGCAAAAGAGCCTGAATCTATTTAACATATATCCTTTTTTTAACTGTGAGTTAGCCAGACGCACAAGGCTTGGATCAATTCCATTTCTGTTGGTGGACGAGAACAGCACTCCATCAAAGACTGGTTAATCTTATAAAAGAGGAACTCAAACCCGAGTTCCCCTGAAGAGTTCACATCTCTATTCGAAGGGTTTGTTCATCCGCATGTGGCATCTATGGAAGAAATGAACAAAACCATCTTTGACCACCAAACCTCGATTCCAAACAACGGTGTTAAAAGAGCCCAAGTTCAACTGAATTCCCAAGCCATATTGGTAGCTTCGTGCATGACTGCAAAACTAGTGCTCAGACTCGGGATTTGCACCAGGAGCTGCTGGACCAAACCCCCAAGGAGTAACGTCTAGTGTGGATAGAGCTGTCTCTAAGGGGAGCCCTGGCACGAGATGATATGCTAGTGGCAGAGTTAAAACTAGAACTGGAATGCGACTGACCCCCATAATTAGTCATTGTGTATCGAAGGTGATTCAATTATTACTACGATTCATGTGTTCTGTCAAGACAACAATGTCTAAGCGTAGGGGCCATTCTTTGTTTTTTTTTTTTTTTGAATTTTGAAAGGGAGAAAATAATTTTTCGATTTAGAAGAAAAGTTGTCAACACTTGATGGGACAAAAATACCCCCTTCAATAATAAATTTTTATTGATTTATTTATATGAAAAAATAAAAAAACATGGATAAACGCACAAATAAGTCTTTTCTGAATGGATAAATTATCAAAAAATGAATTAAGGGTTAAAGTTAAACATTCCCAGACGGATTCCGCTTTAATTATGCTTTCGTAAATGAATCAGCCTAAGGGCTTTTACAAAGCAAAAATGAACACAACCGCCATATAAATGATTCTATGATTCTATCCCAAATTCGGTTGTGCGGTACATACATAAATGGCAGAAACAGAATTTAGAATCCTCTCAGACGTACCAAAAAGAAATAAATGTTTTAAGTAAAGCAAAATAAACTTTTCTTTCCACTAAAAGTTGACACGGAATGATGGATTCATAGACAACGGCGAAAAATCTCACAGAATAAGACGAGACAACTAGTTCAATTCCAATGATACTTCCAGGTTAATAGAGGTTTAGTTTTCTTTAATAATCTCGGACTCAACCACCAAAAAAATCCAAGGAAGAGGAACCCATTCGGTTTTACTACCATTCTCGATGACGGTCTCTGTCCCGGTCTCGGTCCCGGTCCCTGTCCCTGTCCCTGTCCCTGTCCCTGTCCCGCCCAAGTTCTTTCCCTCGATCATGATCATAATCTCGGTCTCTATCTCTATTCCGGTCTTTGCCTCTATCCTTCTCACGGTCCCTTTCTCTCTCCCTGCTCCTGCTCCGACGCCTCTCTCTCTCATGAATGTAACCATCTCTCTCGCGACTCTTGCTACCATCTCTCTCGTCACGGTCTCTTCCCCGATCTCTGCTTCTGTCTCTACCGTCCCTCTCGGTCACACCTGCAAGTGCGTCATCCAGTGCACATAACCAAAGGCCAAATGGATCAAATAAACGAACCATCAACACATGAAGGCATCACCTCTATGCAAGGTTCTAAGTATCCATATGCTCGCTGCTGAAAAAATCAGAATCGAGCAACAAAAAGCACAAATACTCAAAGTTTTATTTTGAGTTAATACCATCTGTCCTTTTTTTTATCAACCCCATCTGTCCATTCTGTCACATCAATAATACCATTTAAACTTGACAGAAGTCCCTATTTCCAAATATTAGTCTCAGTATCACAAAGTTTAAAACCTATAAATATCTTTTTTTTTTGCTCATTGGGCTCACACAATAGGGTTGCCCATCCCCCATACCACATAGCCCCCAACCCTGGTCGCAGCAGGATTTGATCCCAACACTAGTGGAACGAGCTAGCAGCCGTACCAATTGAGCCACCCATCAGTTGGTAAACCAATATGTATCTACAGTATGCTACAATAAGTTATTTTATATTTCCTTTTTTGGAAATAAGTTGTGTTATATTGAGCCTTGCCTCTATGCTATGTTGCAGTAATAAAGAAATGGAAATCACATTGATGTGCAAAGAATTCCCATTGGCAATCTCCCAAGGCAAACATGGATTCTAGCCATCCGACTCTTTCAATAAAAGAACATTGGTTCAGGTTCTTTAAATATCCTGAAGACTTCAAATAGATGGTTGGAATTTTATTTTGCTTTATCTAATTTTATTTATTTTTTCAGGTAACTAATAAATAATATGGCAAAAAACTTACCTAGTTCCTCAACCTCCCACCCTGCACGTCCAGCACCTGGAAGCACCTGTCCAGCTTCAGCTTGTTGTGTTTTGGCACGAAACTTCTTCTTGAGATTGCCAAATTCATCATATAACTCCCCATCATCCTAAAATTTGAAGCAAAATATTAATATCAGAGGAATAATTCGAAAACTTGGGATGTGTGAGCAAGAATATCATACCTCTTCAGCTTCCCTCCGCCGTCGTTTTGTTTCCTCTATTTCTTCTTCGTCAAGTTCTTTATAACCTCCAGCTCGCCCTCCTCTATTAAATGAAGATAACTGTCAGAGACAGCCATCTATCCACTAAAAGATGCAAATATTTGCTTAACAAACTTTTTAGAACTCCATTACTAGGATCTTATTCTATCCCAATAGATACATTTGTCCAACCGGACTAGCTATTTTGAATACAATGCTTACATAAGATCCTAATTCAGAGATTATATAGTTGGTTTATGCTTTATACTGTGAAATTTTATAATAGTGAGGTAACATCAACAAGAGAGTTTGGAAAGGGAACCTTGGCTATTTAATCTACTTGAACTATATACCAAAATGGTGGCAAACAAGAAAACCTCATACTTCAGGTACCAAGATTGCTTATCATTCAGGGGCAGCAGCAAAATAAAAAATCATAATGACCAACCATAGACCACTTAATGGGGAAAAATTATGAAGGTATCTTGTGTAGCAAGATTGATAGGACCTGATCATCCATTTAGCCATTGCAAGTTGGCAATGAGACACAAGACAAACTATATTTATTCAATGTCAAGGAGAGTTTCAGGGAATTTGGTGGCATCAGTATTGCTCCAAGTACAAAGACTGAACCAGTGGAAATATGCATTCTAGTCTAGGTTTGCATCCATTTGACATACAAAATAACAAGAATGCAAATGTGCTTCAAAAACCATATCACTCTTACAATGGATGCGAAGTTTAATTCCAAAATATGAACACAAACTTCGCACTGTCTGACGGTCTATGTAAACAAGCCAAACTTCCAAACTTTTTCTATTGTTTTGTTGCAATTGCTGCTATTGCACTCACCCAAACTGCACTGTCTGAATGTTCTTTTATCAATAACAGAACAGAAATTTTTATTAATAAAGAAAATAAAGCAAGGTACAACACAAAGTTAGTGGGAGAGGTAAACTCTCTTAACCCTCCCAAGAAAAACAAGAAATAAATTACAAGCCCAGAACATTTGCTCCCTTCGCAACCCATGTTTATCAAGCGTATCTGCAAATGAGTTGGCACTTCTCTTCACCCATTGGAGCTGAATCTCTACACTGTCTGAATGTTATTTTATCAATAACAGAACCTTTTTATTAATAAAGAAAATAAAGCAAGGTACAACATGAAGTTAGTGGGAGAGGTAAACTCACTTAACCCTCCCAAGAAAAACAATAAACAAATTACAACACAGCCCAGAACATTTGCTCCCTTCCCACCCCATGTTTATCAAGTGTATCTGCAAATGAGTTGGTACTTCTCTTCACCCATAGGAGTAGAATCTCTACATCCTGAGTTAACCATTCTATAACCACTTTTGAGTCTCGAACAATTAACTTCTGTAGATTCAATTCCTTAGCCTTCTTTAACCCTTCCAGTACTGCTATAACCTCAGCTCCAAGAGAATCACCCACCCCAATAGGCCCAGAATACAACACTAAGACTTTCCATTCTTCACCTCTAAACATTCCTCCAATACCTGAAGGCCCCAGGTTACCCTCACCGCTCCCATCAAAATTCAATTTAATAAATCTAGAAGCTGGTGTAGACCAAAGGGGGCTAATTTTCATTTGGACTGGTGCTGAATTGGACACTTCCAACTTCTAACCAACATATCTGTAGTGATATCTTCAAACAGCTCTAGTGATTTTACTCACTGCACCGCTCTTATAGTTACTGCTTCAATTATGGCCTCTTTACTCCTTTCCTTTCCAGAAAAAATCCATGAGTTCCATTCTTCCCAGATTGTCCAACAAATGGCAGCCCATACGCATCTGCACTATCTGAATGTTAATGTAAACAACCCGAACTAGCACTCTCAAACAACAAACAAACAATGTGAGTACAAATACAAGGGCAAGGCTGAAACAGATTTGCATTCATCATGTATGCACTTTACACCTGTTTGCATTCACTATGATGCATTACAGCAGTCTCTTCAACCCAATTTTGGCCGGGCCAGTAAGAACATTGGACCCGTCATCTGATTACAATACCAACTTTGGGTAGCCACTAACCTGCCTTTACTCAAAAAATATTTAACTTGGTCAAAGACCAAGCAACCCAGGCAGTTGAACAGTCATCCCAATTGACCCAAACACTGGGTCATGGATACAAATTAAATATTATTTTATTTTTAGGTTTAAACTTTTTTAATAACACCTATATCTATACACATGCATCTATGCATGTGGGGATACTGAAAGTGCATGATACCAGAAGAACCTTGACCCCCTCCCTGGGTGAATTTTGATGAATACCAACTGGTAACCACTTTTATGATACCAATTGATCTGTTTACTGTTCAGCAATTCAACCATCTAGGTTGAATGGATCAACCTGTAATGTCATAAATGAATACTATATGACATCACAAGTCCATTTTTGAAACACTGCATTAGAGTTTTGTATCATAAACACCTGCAGGCTAAGCTCATGATCATTGTATATGTGAACTAGTCATTGGACCCATGCAATGCACAGGTCAAGTTAAACAAAATTGACCAAGAAAGAATCCTACGACATACCAAAGTTTTTGTGTTCTCTTTCTTTAGCCTTTTGTTTAATATGATGATAGATATTAATAACAAAATTATCATTTACCAAACCTTTTGTTTAATATGATGATAGATATGCTCAATATTTTAAGCAGCCTTTTGTTTAATATGTATGTATGTATGTATGTATGTATATGGATATCATATATAATTACATAATGTTTTATATTAGTAACAGTAACAGTTCTATTGCTTAGTAGGAATTAAAATGTAGAAGATTAGCAACAAGATGGTCAGCCTCAACTAACCATCCAATATTTTTCAGATTTTACATAGGCCTATGCCTCTCCACAACCATGCAAATTACAACTTGACCCAAAACAAATGATCCAACCCCTTCTTTCGATAAACAATCAGTCGTTGAATTGGGCAGTATAAAAGTTACACTTATGTAAGCTATATTGAGATAATTACGTAAAGTTTATAATTAATAAATTAAATATTTTATATTTATATAAATTACTATATGTATAATTTAATAACTAATTAAACTTTTATTTTTTTATTATTCTTTACTCGTTGAATTGGGAAATATAAAAGTTACATTTATGTAAGCTATATTGAGATAATCTTTACTCGTAAAAATTTAAAAAGGTGCACACTTGGGCGGAGGCACAAGGCGCATCAAGCGCATGCCCCTGAGGCCTTGTCTCAACCATTAGGTTCAAAAAACCAAAAAAAAAAGCATAAAAATTTAAGAAGGTGCACACTTGGGCAGAGGCAAAAAGGTGCACACTTGGGCAGAGGCACAATGTGCATCAAACGCATACCCCTGAGAACAATATTACAAATGCTTTTATATTTTACATAATCCTTCCATTTCTTTTAGGCCAAAGGGTCAAAAAGCTTATCCACTGTTATTGACATGGTCCACTTGCACCAAAACAAAGAGAAAAACCATTCACAAATATCAGAAACAAAAGGACAATATATTAGTAAGTGGTAATAATTCTCTTCATTTATATTCAAAAATAATGCACCAATTTGGGGATAAATACACGAACCTTTTTGTAACATGTCCAAAGTGTTAACCCTCCCATGATACACTTACCAGCAGAAAGCTCCTATTTTGAGTGGAACAGACCACATTAAACTTCCTTTGCAAGGAAAAGCTGAGGAGGAGAAGACAAACAAAGAGACTTGAGAAACGATGCAAAAGAAAAGCAGCCTTTAGGGTGGGGAATCCAAATATGCCTATCCAGTTTAGAAGGACCCAAGCAAACAAAATCAAGAAGTTGCAATAACCCAATAAAACAAATTAGTTTGGCATCCCTCAACCCTCTTTAGAAATCAAAGTGCTAATTGTGACCCAAAGGAAAAATATGAGCAATAAAACCTGAGAAAACTTGTTTTTATACAAGGATAAAGACTACAAAGAAGGCAATAGATCCTTGGGGGCATGAGAGCCAACCCAAACATCCTCCCAAAACTTGGCAGTATCCACATCATACCTGATGAAACTAAGAAACTGATGAAGAATATCGCCTTACAAGGTGAAGAAAGAGTAGCCCGTCAAGACACACCTGCATGCTGCATCCCATCCAGACAGGACCAGACTCCAATCTACCATGGATGTTAGCTATAACTTCATCCCATAATCTACCCCTCTCCAAAGTCATCAATTTATACTATGTCATTAGTAAAGAACATACACCATTCTGCTTCCTCGATATGTTTAGTCAATTTAGCAATGATTATTGCAAACAAACAAGGATCAAGTGCTAACCCTTGGTGAAATCCTATTATAACAGATAACTCTAAAATTTCTTCTTCAAGTGTTCTAAAACAGTTTATTTCACCATTATACATGTCTATAATTAGGACAACATACTTATTTGATAACCCTCTGTTTTCCAAAGGCCAACATAATATCCCTCTATGGGCAATCACCTCAATAAAAAGATAGCTTCCATAGTTGATTTCCAACATCCACTGATGAAGGGAAATTTGACCGGCCTCGCGATCGCCCGACACGTGGCAAAGGCAAGCAGCTCGGGACAGTAGAGCACCCAAAGCGAACATCGAAAGCAAGTCCAAACTCACTACCGAGCCCGAACTCCAGACCGCCATACTTAGTCCGAGCTCCTTGTTAAGAGCGAGCTCCCTATCAAAGGTCCGAGCTCCCTAAAACCCAAGCTCCCTAAGTCCGAGCTCGGTACTAGGAGCCCGAGCTCCTTGTTAAGAGCGAGCTCCCTGTCAAAGGTCCAAGCTCCCTAAAAACCCGAGCTCCCTAAGTCCGAGCTCGGTACTAGGAGCCCGAGCCCCCTGATTAAGAGCGAGCCCCCTGTCAAAGGTCCGAGCTCCCCAAGTCCGAACTCGGTACTAGGAACCCGAGCTCCCTGAGAACCCGAGCTCCCTGCAAGGGGCACGAACTATACTGGGCCCCAAGCCCCACGAAGCTGACCCGAGCTGACCCGTGACAGCTCGGATCACTCCAAACCGAACTCAAGGCACCTCGCTCGCCACTCCA